AGTATCGGCATTCTTGGTCACAAGGACATATAACTGGTTCATGGTTAACTTCTTGTCCACCAGGATGTCCAGGCCCTTCTCCACAGGGCTGCTCTCCAGCAGGTCAACCCCTAATCTGTCCTGGTGTCTGGGGTTATTTCTCCCCAGGGACACGACCCTGCACTTGTTCTTGTCGAACGTCATGCCCAGCATGTCGAACCATCCTCTCTGCCCAGCTATCTCTCTGGATGGCAGAACAGCCCTCCATAGTATCAGCCATCCTCAGTTTTGTATCATCACCAAATTTGGCGAGGGGGCACTCCACGCCATCGTCTGGGTCACTGGCAAGTAAGTTGAAAAAGACTGGATCCTATATTGATCCCTGGGGGACAACTGCTAGCTACAGTCCTCCAGCTGAACTGCATGTCTGATCACTACCCTGAGCTCTGTCTTTCAGCCACTTTACTGCTCCCTACCATCCTGGGAGTGCATCCCATCCGCACCCCATCTAACCCACAGTTTCCGAGCTTCCCTACAAGGATGTTATGGGAGACAGTATCAAACGTCTTGCTGAAATCTAGGTAGACAACATCCACTGATGTCTGCTCATCTACCCATCCAGTCACCCCATCATGGAAAACTATCAAGTTGGTTAAACATGATTTTCTCTTGGTTAATCCATGTTGACTATTCCTGATCACCTTCTTTTCCTCCACATGGTTGGAGATGTCATCCAGGAATAGTTATTCCACCACCTTCCCAGAGGTGAGGAGGTGAGGCTTACCGGCCTGTAGTTGCATAGGTCTGCTTCTTGCTCTTTTTGAAGGATGGAGTGATACTGGATTTCTTCCAGCCCTCAGACACCTCTCCTGTTCTCCATGACCTTTCAAAGATGGAGAGCAGCTGAGCAACGACATCTGCCAGGGCCCCCAGCACCTGTAGGTGTATCCCATTGGGGCCCCTGGATTTGTGAGCCAAATGTTCCTACCTATCAGGTAGGAAAACGTAACAGAAACTGATTAACAGGACTTAGAAATACTAAGACAAGAACCAAGGAAAATATTACATCCAAATGACACTAAATAAATTATACCAGATAGAATTCTACTAAACAAATTAGTAACAACTCAATTATATTAGAGAGGAAAAGATTAAAAAAATATAAAATGAACATCTGTCCACTGCTCTTTACATTTTTAAATGGCTTGCCTTTACACAAGACTTTCATAGGAAATATGAAGTTCAAATGGATTAATGGTTTCAATCATTCCTAATTTCATTTTTACATCGCAAAGATTCTTACTCAAGCCTATTTTAGTTTGAACACAAATTCAGAACATAACAACAAAAATTAGAGATAATTCCTACTTTTGAAAAGCTGAATAATTGAAAATTCTAGGCAAGATCTCTTCTAAAAATCTAGTATGTAGACTAAAATCTATTTCCCTCTTCTTTAAATAAAACATACATACTTTAATATATGTCTGTATATTTATTGATGGAGTAAAAAAAATGACACTAAATACTAAATTACACTGAGTTTTTGCTGAAAAAAACAGCTTTATAAATTACTAACGCACTTCCCCTCTCCCTCCAAACTAAGACTCTTTAAAAAAGTGCTAAATACATTTATCTACTTCTATTACAAGGTTGACATGTACTGGACTCTAACCTAGAGCTGAGAAAATTTCTATTGTGCTTAGGTTCTTTCTCCAGATACAGGACCTACTTTCATTTTCTTTTTTTCCTTGCTTCCCTTCCTGAAACCTATTTGAATTGCTAAAAGAGGAAGACACAAGCATAGTAAGATAAAATGCAAGAGACTAAGAGAAATATATTTCAAAAAAGACTTTTTGGCTGTTGAGTTCAATATGATTGTACTGGGCTCATCATGGAACAAGAAAAACATGTGTTTAATTCACTTTATCTAGAGGGGAAGAGATACTTAGCTGCAATTTGTGAACATCTTGTGTACACGTTTCATTAAGTAGAAATTCTAATTTGTACTATCTACTTCCAAGTTTTTATTATTTATAATGCTCTTTATCATATGCTACTAGGCTTCAGCAATATAGAGTTTGTGTCCGGCTGGCAAAGCACCATGGCATAGGCTATTCCTTCCAGCTCTACCAAGCTCTGTGTCTGCATGTCAAGAGAGGGAAACTCACTAAGGTGTTACCATAAAGAGTTTTCCAAACTTCTGCAACAAGCTGCTTAAGGTGCTTCTGCTTTCCAAACTTCTGCCACAAGCTTCCACTTAATTCAGTGCTCACTATTTCTAATCCGGAGTTACTATTGATAACAATATACTCCCTGCTACTTCTGTGCAACAAGTTTTTGCCAGGTTCTGTGTAAAACACAAACCCTGAACACGGCACCAGCTGCACTACAGCTGCTTGGAAGGTGCGAGAAGGGCTAAGGTGGCTCCAGGGAGGGCACTGCTTGCTCTCCACAGCCCTGCTGCCGGCTTCGCAGCCAGAACCAGGCCCGCTCCCACGGGAAAACGGGAGCGAGAAGGAGGGCAGAGGGAGAAGCAGGCGGCACCTTCCGCGCCCGCGTCCCCGGGCTGGGCTGGCCCGGCCCGGCCCAGCTCGGCACGGGCCCGCCGGGAAGATGCTGCCCCCACAGCGACACGCGCCGCGGGGCACGGGGCGGCGGGGCACGGCCGGGGCGTGAACCCCAGGGCAGC